AATCATTCTTACATTGAATATCAATAAGCTTCTCCTTTGGCTCATCGCCTCATCGGCCGGAAGAATTCCTCTGCGTATGTAGCATAATCTTCCTTCCGGTACCAACCATCGCATCCATTGCCCTCCCACTGAAATTGAAGCCAAAAAATATTTAGTCAAAAATATTCAAGAAAAGCGAGTCAATTAGCCATAATAATCAAATGCGTAAGAAACTCACATTGCGATCCGGGCACTTGTAGAAAACACGATCCTTGTTGGGTCCCTCATCTCTTGACTCGGTACTCCATCACAATCTTACGCTTACACTTGCCGCTTGAGATAATGAGAGGAGTTCGGCCTCGGTCGTTCATTAACCGAACGAGAGGCCGAGGATCCGGTACCAGTTGTCATCTACTTTCTATACTTATTTTTGCAAACTATTGTAAATTTCACATTTTCTAAAATAATATATTTAAACAAAACTAAACTTATTTATTTATCTAACTAAACCATGTAATATGAACTATGTATAATAGTAAAATACCAAACTATCAAGTGATTTTACTATTGTAAATCATCATGTGATTTTGAGCTAAAATGACATAGAAATCACATAGCTCAAAAACATGTTTCAATAAATAACCATCCGTACTAGTTGACATTGCTTACGTGATCATCTCGGCAAGCATTTCTCCACCGGACGGCACCGTACTTGGCCAAGGAAGAGCTCGATTCTACGAGGAAGGAACACGGTCTTCCACGACCGTTGTCGCTCTCCTCGAGAATCAAAGCTCCTCCTTGACGTCTCATTATCGCTTCGGTAGAGAAAATGCTCGCCGAGATGATCACGGTCCGCAAGTTCAACTAGTACAATTTTCTACAATTTTCTAACAATTTTCTAAGTTTTTTTCATTTCATGGAAAAATTAATTCTAAGATCACGTAAGCCACGGGGGCGAGGATGGCGCGCTCTCCAACGAGGACGAGCGAGGCGTGATTTTGATGAACTAATTTAACTTTTGTTTATCCAAACATATATGCAAATCATCATGTGATTTTGAGCTAAAATGACATAGAAATCGCATAGCTCAAAAACATGTTTCAATAAATAACCATCCGTACTAGTTGACCTTGCTTACGTGATCATCTCGTGAGCATTTTTCCACCCGACGGCACCGTGCTTGGCCAAGGAAGAGCTCGATTCTACGAGGAAGGAACACGGTCTTCCACGACCGTTGTCGCTCTCCTCGTAGAATCAAAGCTCCTCCTTGACGTCGTCGTTACCGCTCGGCAGAAAAAATGCTCACGAGATGATCACGGTCCGCAAGTTCAACTAGTACGGATTTTCTCTAATTTTCTAACAATTTTCTAAGTTTTTCATTTCATGGAAAAATTAATTCTAAGATCACGTGAAAGTCGCTGGGGACGAGGATGGCGCGTGCTCCAATGAGAGACGAGCGAGGCGTGATTTTGATGAACTAATTTAACTTTTGTTTATCCAAACATATATGCAAATCATCATGTGATTTTGAGCTAAAAATGACATATAAAATCATAATAAAGTCCAACATATAAAGTTACACATGCATCTACATCGCAAAATGAGATAAGCTACTGATAAAACATAAGAGGATTAAGTTTGTTACCTCCAAAATCGAAGAGCAACACCAATGGAGGGGGAGAGAGCAAGAACAACAGCAAGCTGAAGAACAGAGGTAGTGAGTTTGAATGGAATGGCTCGGGCTCGGGGAGAAAGAAATGAGCCGTTGTATTGACCCGCATAATTAGTCCCGGTTAGGTGACCAAACCAGAACTAAAGATTAATATTTATTCTCGGGGTATCACCCAAACCGGGACTAAAACATTTAGTCCCGACTGGTATTACCAACCGGGACTAAAGGTTTACCTTTAGTCCCGGTTGGTAATACCAGCCAGGACTAAAGATCCCTACCACGCGGACGACCGTTGGGCAGGGACCTTTAGTCCCGGTTGGTATTATGAACCGGGACTAAAGGGTCTTTTAGTCCCGGCGGCAAAAAATACCGAGGCTAATGCTAAATTGGGACATCGTTCTAAAGTATGTTCTCTAGTAGTGAGAGGATCTCCGAACCGCGACACTCTGTTTGCATATGCTAAAATTTAGCTTAAGCTGATGTTTATATTGAAATGTTGTGAGGAAAAATCACTGTTTTATGATTGAAAAGTAGCTCAGGCTCCCTTTTGTTTTGCCTTTGTGACATTTGTGTGTGAGTTCGACAATGACGGCTCAGCCGGTGGCGCGAGTGGAGGGCCCATCCCATCTCCACCAGGCCTACTCCTATCGTCGATGTGACAAGAGAAAAGTCCGCATTACCTCACTTAACTTTCAGAAAAGTCCGTTTTTCCTCATTGAACTTTCAAAACCAGGCAAAACACCTTCCTCAAATTTGAAAATTGTTTATCCTACCTCCCTGGCCCTGTTATAAGCGGTTTTGAAGGTGGTTTTGTCTTTTTCTTTTTTTTTTTATTTCGGCTGAATCTTTGAAAAATCATAGTAAATCACATAAAAATCATAAAATAGAAAATTCAATTTTGTTGGACTTCACATGAGTAGATCTATACAGTGAACATATAATATGGTATGCTTTAGTACAAAGTTTTTGTTGTAGCTTTAGATATATGCTTTTCTGTAATTAAATGGAATAATTCATAGCTGCAGTTTGTATGGTCCAATTGTGGTAAAATTTTTATGGTGGGCTAACTATTGTATGCTTAAACTGTAATAAAAATTTCATACTCATTGGATTATGTATAACTTAGTTATTGATTTTATTTAGGTTTATGCTTGTTAAATATAAATAAATTTATAACTAAGTTGTACATGATCCAATGAGTATAAATTTTTACTACAGTTCAATCATATAATAATTAGCCCACCATAAAAATTTCATCACAATTGAACCATAGAAACTGCAGCTATGAATTATTCCAGTTAATTATAGAAAACATAAATGTAAAGCCACAACAAAAACTTTGTACTAAAGCATACCATATTATATGTTCGCTGTGTAGATCTACTCATGTGGAGTCCAACAAAATTGAATTTTCTATTTTATGATTTTTCTATGATTTACTATGATTTTTTAAAGATTCAACCGAAATAAATAAAAAAGAAAAAGATAAAATCGCCTTTAAAACTACTTATAACAAGGCCAGGGAGGTAAGATGAACGATTTTAAAAGTTGAGGAGGTGTTCTGCCTAATTTTAAAATTCATGGAAGAAAAACGGACTTTCGTGAAAGTTGACGAGACAACGTTGACTTTTTTCATACGACAATGAGCATGGCACGGTTATCAGGCGGGCCCATCGGTAGAAGAACCCAGCGCAAGCGGGGCAGGCCGGCCCAGCCCGGTGTGCTGCAGCCGAAGCCCACCAGCAGCACAGCAGGCACCAACCAGTCAGGCGGTGGGACGTCCTCGTCGGCTCGTTGCCGTCTCGCAGTCGCAGATTATCGCTGTGACGAGGAGGTGTAAACTGTCGCCGGCTGGCGGCTGCGCTGCGCCTCTGCCTGTGGCAACGGCGACCCGTGTGGTGTGTGGGTGGAGACGCCCAGTGTTTCGTGTTTGCTGCCATGATGAGGGGACTGGAGACGATCAGACGACGTCCTCCGTCCCCATGCTCCTCTGCGTAGCGCCCTACCCAGCTGCACGTACGGGACGCTTGAGCGATGCATTTGGATGGCTCGAGGTGGCAGAGGCAGGGGCCCTGCGACTCCGACTGCGATGCGAGGACAGCGGCGCAGTGTCAGGGATGTTTGGTTCCTAAACTTTAAACTTTAGTCCCTGTACTATCACATATTTGAACACATTATCAGCTTGAACACATAGTGATATTTATTGTTTTGTACAGTCATCCAAAGGCAAAGACCTCCGGTATATTAGACTGACCCGGCATCACTTTTTGCTTCCGCCACACATACCAAAAGCTTCGCTGGTCGGTTTATAGTAGATTTCACTCTCACAATATAGGTTTTAGTCGCTATAGTATTTCTCTCTCACAATAACCAGCTAGTTTTGAGCTAAGTTTCAGACCAGCGAACGGGCCATATGGAGTATTAAATATAGGCTATTTATAAAACTAAATGCATAGATTGAGGCTGTTTTGCGAGATAATTTTTTTAAACCTAATTAGTCGATGATTTGATAATGTGGTGCTACAGTCAACATGTGCTAATGATGGATTGATTAGGCTTAATAAATTCATCTCATGAATTACCAACGGATTATGTAATTTATTTTTTTATTAATATCCGAACATCCCATATAATACTCCCTATAACACCTCCTACACTTTAGTCACTAATCCAACCAGCCCCTTGCCCGCCAGTGAGTACTCATGAGCGCGGTTAATTTCAGCGTGCCTTCCTTGCTTATCGCTTTTACTTCACTGCACCTGCATGTACAACTTGATGTAATGGAGGCACAGGCACTGATGAGAGTAGACCGTCATAAACCATTGAGCCCATCCGAGGGCATTCGATAATTATAGTTTAGTAGCAGCTTATTCAGATGGTTTGTTTTTAATCTGTTCATCCTCTAGAATTCCTATACTGATTTATTTCTTGTAAATCCCCTTGTTACAAAACTGCTCAGACTGATTGATGAAGAAGAAGATAAGGCGTTCTCAAAAAAAGAAGAAGTAAGGTGACAGACCGACAGCGTGCAAACGTTACGGCCCATATATCTGAATAAGCCAGCCTGCACATAGTTGAATCATACCCAAGTCCATAGAGCTTGTGGTCTTGCGTACCTATTGGGCCAAGCCTTCTTTGTGAATATGGGCTGGACCTTTCTTTTCTCACACGGAAACCGACCACCTTGCTAGGGTTTTGCTCCGCTGCTCCCCCGCCGCCCCTGCGCAGTATAACCAGCCGAGCCGTCCCGGCAAAAATCCTCCTCGACGGAGAGCGTGCAGTAACGAACCAGCCACCCACCGATCGCCCGCGCAAGACTTGGGGAGCAAGCAAGGCGAAGCGGCCGGCCATGGATTCCTTCTCGTCCTCGCTGCCGTCGTCAGGTCCCGGCGCCAACCCGGACGCTGTTATGGAACAGATCAAGGCGCAGCTCGCACAGGCTTACGCGCAGGAGTTTCTTGAGGTCAAATCTCTTGCAATCTTTTTCTTCTTTCTGTTGACGCCACTTTGCTAATCCTAATATGCAATGGATGGTTAGATTGTGCTTGCTAACTGATGGATTGCGATTCTTGATTTCGCACATGGTACCTTTGCTTTTTGCTTGAGGGGAGCGATTTGGGGCTCCTTATTTACTGTAATTAATAGCTCAAACATTGAACTACCTTTGGGTTGATAGATTGGATGGAGCAATTGAGCTTGAGAGCGGGTTAGCTTATTATAGTTGCATGTGTGTGTGTGTGTGTGTGTGTGTGTGTGTGTAAGCCATGCCCTGTTATGGATGCAAGGAGAAAACTCAAGCTTTAAGTTTTTTAATGAGCAGTGGGTGGTGGGCCTCTCATTCAACTTAGGTAGTCAAGAGATCAATTGCGGGTGATTTTATTGGATTGAAAACCTAATTGACAGGGTGACCTTGTTAAATTCTTTTTGTGTACGATGGTTTGCCGTTGTCTTAGAGATTTGTAGATTATATTGTTAGGTTGATCTTCACCAACTTGGCCCAACGGCCAATTGGGCCCTTGATCCGCGCCTTGATCGAGGGCGCCCAATCGTTCCATGGTTGGTGGGCCCCCGTCGCACAACGCCGTAAAAAGGGAGGTGGGGGCCGGGGCACAAGGGACGAGATTCACCTGCGCCGCCACAACCCCACCTACATCCGAACCCTAAGCCGATCTAGAGAGGGGGCGCTGCCAGCGACGGGAAGCACCGCCATCGGCCACCGCCGCCTCTGCACCGTCGCCTCTGCACCGCCGACTCTGCACCGCCTCTCTACGACCGCGCCTTCACCGCGTCACCGACACCGACGCGATGGCCAGCTCGTCTTCCTCGAAAGCGGCCGATGGTTTGCTACCCCGCATCCCTCTCTCTCTCTCTATTTTCTCGCACTAGATCATGTTCTAGGGTTTACTCCATATCCTAAATGTCAGTTTGACACGCTAGATCTATGGCTAGTGGATCCTGTTAATCTATCATATATTAGTTAGGGTAAAATGGTGAAGCAATGCTTATATGCTATATAGCCTATAGTGACTGTTGATGGTGGCCAGAACTAGGCTGGCAGCTGGTAATTGAACAAGTAACAGCTGGTTCCTGGTCTGATTCTAATCAAATTTTCAGTTTCCTTGCATTTCTTCTATCAAACATTTAACAACTTTGAACTTGGTGAAACTAGCATGTGCTAAAAAAATGCCCAAAACAGCACTTCCAGTCAGACATAAGCTTATTATTTTAAAAAAAGTCCCCCTAGCCTTCCTAGGCACACCTTCCTGTCTATCCTCTAAGCAACCTAGGCACCTGCCTAGCCACCTTTTTGCCGCCTAGGCACACCCCACCACCTCATTAAGGCCTTAACACTTTTCACAAAGCATTGTTAGTACTGCATTATTCCCGTAACCTTGTGGAATTCTAGATACAACCTATATATGATTGCACCAAGTCCAAATCATGCACAAGGTCCATGTCCATAGACATGAGTTGAAATACATATTATAGCACCCAGTTGGCATCTGCTAAGCTAGATTAATTCACTGGACAAAATTTACATACCATTTACATTCATATTTTAGCTTCATCATACATTCAACTGCTGCATCCATGTACTTGTCCTCCCTCAAATATGTTGATGTTCCGCATGCTGCTTGTTTTCTAATACATGCTTTGTGTAAACACACTGTATTGTTCTACCTCTGTATGCCTCCATTTTTTTATATTCTTGCTTATATTGAAAGCCAATAAAGAGTTTTGCAGCATCAGTTTTACACAATGCTGGGTTTTTATGCCAACATTATTTTAGGAATATGATATTTCTCGGTTTATATTGAAAGCCTATAAGGAGTTTTACAACATCCTTTTTACATTCTGCATGGATTACTAGCTGACCATAGCTTATTAGTAGCATCCTACATTTTAGGAAGCTCCCATTAGCATAAAACAAAGACCAAGTTTAGGTAGATGGCCACACATCAACCACACAAAACTAACCACCAATAACCTTGCCACAGATCAAACAGTTTAGGACCGGGCATATTCACATTTGACACAAAATCATGCATCCAGTGTAGTGGTGGCATGATGATCTTTTCTACCTTTGTTTTGCTTGTTTTGAGTAGTGTCTTCCACTTCTGCAGAAACGGTACCCAAGAGAATATAACCTCAATTGGTTTGTTAGAAAATTTCATTTAAATTGGCATCCTTCTTTTTTCCAAACCGAACCTTGCCCCATTTGGCCACTTCCATTCCAGAGAAACGGCAGCATTTGGCCACTTCTATTCCAGAGAAACGGCAACATTTGGCCACTTCCATTCCAGAGAAACGACAATAGCATTGCCGTTACAAGTAGAAGTAGAAGACAAGTGCTGCAATGAGAAAATAAGCTAAATCTAGGAACCTTCATCGTTTGACTAACATCTATGATATGCGGATACTTCCAAACTCTCGCACATTGATACTCCTCCAATACTTGTCAAGCAAAGATACTCAGACATGTATCGGACATTTTCATGATTTTTCAATAAATAAAAATATAAAATAATTATGATACTTTTGTTGATACCCCTTACTCTTAGATTAGATTCTTTGCACACATCTGAATCCTGAACCCTCATTACCTCCATGAACCCACCCACTGCACGACACCCCATTTGTTCCCAACAATACATAGGAGCAAATAATCAGGTATATTTCGAGACTTATTAAGTCAATAGTGAGCAAATCGAGTTTCACCATAACCTTTCAAGCAATGTATTTTTTTAATAAAATTATTATATATTATACATATATCCCTGTATCTGGAACGATGATATACGTGATAGATTAGGGGTAGCACCAATTGAAGAAAAGCTTGTCCAACACCGGTTGAGATGGTTTGGACATGTCCAACGGAGACCTCTAAAGGCACCGGTGCGTAGTGGAATCCTAAGCCAGGATACTAACGTGAAGAGAGGTAGAGGAAGACCGAATTTGACTTGGGTAGAGGCAATAAAAGGAGACTTGAAAGGATGGAATATACCCAAAGACTTAGCCTTAGATAGGAGTGCCTGGAAGACAGCTATTCACGTGCCTGAACCTTGATTGCTTCTGCAGGGTTTCAACTCTAGCCTACCCTAACTTGTTTGGGACTTAAAGGCTTTGTTGTTGTTGTTGTTGTTGTTGTTGTATATATCCCTGTATCTAAAATCCTGTGTCACGATAGTGCCGGATTGTGTATCTGTATCCTTGTATTCAGGTAACGCATCCTGCGTGATGACGTAGGTCAAAACTAAAAGTTCAACAGGATGGTAAAGCCAGAGCAATAACCAAAATCAGGGAGAACAGCCTAAACTTTGATGGTGTTAGGTTTTCAATTCCAGTTGACATTTTGTTCTGCATCTTTCAAAGTGCCACACAAAACCTGGAAATAAAAACAAAACTAAGTTTTATGAGATCCCAAATCCTTTCCGTAACTGATTGTCCCACAAGTCAGCTCCTGATATTCATTCCCAGTTGCGTCAAAAAAAAAAAATCATTCCCAGTCCTAATCGAAGGCATTTATGATTCTTTATGCCTTTATCCTTTTGATCTCAACTTGTTTTTCCTTTTGGCCATGGATGATTCTTCTTCGAGCTGTATTTAATAATGGAGTAAATGTAATTTTTTTGTTGAGGCAGTACTTTCAGCCTGAAAGGATGACATAATAAGCAGTATATATGCAATTAGCCAGTTATCTTGGAAGTTTCTACCTTCTTGTTTCTGTGCCACCAGTATTAATTTCTTTCGCTTTGGGTCGTGTGCAATGAGTCCTGAACGATGAAGGTTCCTAAAATGTACAAATGATGTGTCTAGGAAATTGCCTTTCATATGGTGCTACGTTTTTCTTGAGCAAATAGGATGATGTTGATTGCCTCAACAAACTTGAGGAAACAAAGATTACACACGAAAGTGCAAAGGATGAATCATGGAAATTTCCTTGTCATTTCATATGGTGGTATGTCTTAAGCTGACAGGTGTGTTGATCTGTCTTGCAGACCGTCGGGAACAAGTGCTTTGAAAAGTGCGTGACCAAGCCAGGATCAAGCTTGAGTGGAAGCGAGAGCAGCTGCATATCACGTTGTGTTGACCGCTACATTGAGGCCACTGGTATTGTCAGCCGCGCTCTGTTCAGTTCCCAGCGCTGAAGTCCACATGAACAAGGAGAGATGATTTCAAAGATCGCTCGGAGAGTGATATCCCCATGAGATTTTTGACTTGTCAGAATACAATGACATTTGGTGCTTGATTGTTCAAAAAAGTCCGCTTATAGACTCGGGGATTTTCTTGTAAGCCTCTCTGCTTTAGTAGCAAAAGAGAAACGTGCTCTATTTTATTGGCTCAGATGTTTAGTTATGCTCATCATATGTCTTAACGTCGCATGCTTCTTATGCCTGTTTGTTCCCCAAGCCTTCGCCAATGTCCTGAGGGACGTTGTTCTTATTTGTCGCTGCAATGATATCAGCTCTAAGACAACATCTCCAACGATACTAACTTTTAGGATATAGCTCATAACATGAGTAGCCTCACATGACATTCTCATACAATATTGAAATGTGTGCATGAGTTAGTTTCTAATTAATCAAAAGATAGTTTCTCTATTCTTTATTAAAATATGAGACAATATACTATGAGCTAGCTCATAAGTTGCCGTTGGAGCTGTCCTTACATGCTCTTCCTCAAGTTGTCTGTGCAAGCGCATCCTTGCAGGATCAGATGTGCACTAGCTGCTGATTTGTTTGACCCTAGGGATGGATGAGGTGTGTTTGGAAAGCCGAAACAATGAAAGCAGGAAACGTTTCCCTGTAGGCTGGTTTTGCCAGATTAAAGTTTCGTTTCGTGGCCTCCCTTCTCGTATAAATTGGGATTTAGGCCTCCCTCCCCTTATGAATTGGAATATAGTCTACAAGCCAAACGATTTTTCTACCGGACAAATGGTTTCATAAAGTGAATAGGCTACAGGACAAATGGTTTCATAAAGTGAATAGGCTACCAGACAAACAATTTTACAAAGTGGCTCCGGTTCATCACCGGTTTTTATAAAGTGGATCCGATTCGTCACCAGAAATATTTCGGTGTGAATCTATGAGTCTGTTTGGTTAGCTCTAAGTGGGCCTGGCTACCCTTGGCCATCCGTATAGGCCTGGCCTGGTCTGGCCCTGGAAAAACGCAGATGGCGGTCGTTTTTCCTGGCCAGGCCCTGGCCAGCCTCCGTCTGAGTTCGCATCACCGCTCGCGCGCCGGTCATCTCCTTCGCTCGCACCTCCTCCGCCCCTCTGCTGTTCCGCTCATGAGGCAGACCGCCATGTCCTCGTCCTCCTCGGTGAGGCCGCAGCACCCGGCGTACGCGGACGCGGCCTCGTCCGCGGCGGACGGCGACGTGGTGGTGGTCCCTGACACCGACACGACCGAGTCCTCCCCACATGAACCTCAACGACGGCAAGCTCGCCGGCTATGACATCCCCGCTCAGTCCAAGATCCTCGTCAATGCCTGGTTCCTCGCCAACGATCCCAAGAGGTGGGTGCGGCCCGATGAGTTACGGCCCGAGCTCCCGTGCCCTGTTCCGCACCGCAGCGCCGCAGTGCAGGGTGCTGGCGTGCCTGTGACGGAGCCGGACGCCCGGACCTTGAGCGCCTCCCCTACATGGAGGAGAAGTCCGTGGAGGTGCACGGCAACGATCCTTCGGAGTCAGCCGCCGGAGGTGCCCCGAAATCATCTTCGCGCTGCCCATCATCGGCATCACCCTGGGCAGCCTGGTGCAGAACTTCCAGCGGATGAGGGCGTTGATGGGGGAGACCTTGAGGGCAGCGGCGCCGAGCGGCCGGCCGGCAGGACGACCAGAGGATGAGTTCCCAGATGCTTGTTTCAGTGTGGATTTCTTGGCTCTGGTGTTTCCTTTCCTTCCCTGGATCTTGCACAATTCGGATGTTTTGCCCTGGTTGTTTCGATTAGCAAGCCGAATTTGAGCATTCTTTTTTCTAGCTAAAATAAATTTGGTGCGACGCAGTTCTCATTCTGGTCGCGTTTGCTCAGCTCCTCTACGAAGCATTGCACACCAGCTATTTGACAAAATCTCACTTACCCCTCCCAACAAGCAGTGACTACGCAAAACAAAACAGACAATCAAACATATCCTTCGTCAGTCAGGTTTGGATAACACATAACTAAATAACTAGTGATTGATTTGGTGGAAGCAAGCTAAAACTATATAGACTAAAGTTAGATAGGAAACCAAACACATCCCTTGCTAGCTAGGCTTCGATAACGCAGATAACTAACATTCTGTTCGGCTGGTTGGTCGGCTGAGGCTGGGCTGGCCAGCGTACTCACACGGTTACTGTTCACGTAAACAGTGTTTTCAGATATAATATTATTTTTTCTCACAGTAATTAGTTAAAATAATATTTTAGTTTATTTTTCAGTCCTACTGAACAGACCCTTTAACTAGAGATTAACTTGATGAGAGCAGACTAAAGCTGTCCCTGGAATGTTGGACAGGAAATCAAACGCACACTGTGTCCACGACGTTTCTACAAGAGAGAATGTGACGCCCTCCCAAACGCATCCATGGAGCGGACGATCATCGCAGGCTCTCCGCTTCCGGTGATCGGCACCACTCGTCAGGGACCAAAGATTCGCGTCCACGAAATTGACTTGACCAGAGATCCGGTGCCACGGAACCGCTGGCGCAAGTACACACAGCAACAAACTTTGACCAGACGACGGCTGACCCGTCGCCGGGCCTTGGCTCCCCACAGTCCCCATCCCATTCCCAGTTCCCACCGTTCCACTTCTACCAACCTCAGCCCGCCGAGGCGCCGCCCGCATCGTTCAACCCCCGTGCCCGGCCGTCGTTTACCTGCTGCTCGCACACGCGCGTCCCTCTCCCTCTTATCACCTCTCTCAAGTCTCAGGTCCCAGCAGGATCGGCCCCAGCGCAGCTCCGCCCCCAAATCTATCCACCCGATTTCTCCACTCCATGGACCTATCCAAGCCGCCGTCGACGGCCGCCTCGTCGTCGGGGGCGGAGACGCCGAACCCGCACGCCTTCACCTGCGAGCTCCCGCACTCGATCTACGCGCTCGCCTTCTCCCCCGCCGCACCCGTCCTCGCCTCCGGCAGCTTCCTCGAGGACCTCCACAACCGCGTCTCCCTCCTCTCCTTCGACCCCGTCCGCCCCTCCGCCGCCTCCTTCCGCGCCCTCCCGGCGCTCTCCTTCGACCACCCCTACCCACCCACCAAGCTCCAGTTCAACCCCCGCGCCGCCGCGCCGTCCCTCCTCGCCTCCTCCGCCGACACGCTCCGCATCTGGCACGCCCCGCTCGACGACCTCTCCGCCACCGCCTCCGCGCCCGAGCTCCGCTCCGTTCTCGACAACCGCAAGGCCGCCTCCGAGTTCTGCGCGCCCCTCACCTCCTTCGACTGGAACGAGGTCGAGCCCCGCCGTATCGGGACCGCCTCCATCGACACCACCTGCACCGTCTGGGACATCGATCGCGGCGTCGTGGAGACGCAGCTCATCGCGCACGACAAGGCCGTGCACGACATCGCCTGGGGGGAGGCCGGGGTCTTCGCCTCCGTCTCGGCCGACGGCTCCGTCCGCGTCTTCGACCTCCGGGACAAGGAGCACTCCACCATCGTCTACGAGAGCCCCCGCCCCGACACGCCGCTGCTCAGGCTGGCGTGGAACCGCTCTGACCTCCGCTATATGGCCGCGCTGCTCATGGACAGCAGCGCCGTCGTCGTGCTCGACATACGTGCGCCCGGGGTGCCGGTGGCCGAGCTGCACGGACACCGGGCGTGCGCCAACGCAGTCGCGTGGGCGCCGCAGGCCACGAGGCACCTCTGCTCGGCTGGGGACGACGGGCAGGCACTGATCTGGGAACTGCCCGAGACGGCGGCGGCTGTACCCGCCGAGGGGATTGATCCTGTGTTAGTGTACGACGCAGGCGCCGAAATAAACCAACTTCAGTGGGCGGCCGCCCACCCGGACTGGATGGCCATCGCCTTTGAGAACAAGGTCCAGCTTCTTAGGGTCTGACAAGGTTGGTACCATGGTGATCTTTGGTTTGACGTTTTTATTTCTATATATATGTCAATACATTTGGAACTTAACTAAAGACGATCGTGCACATTGGTATGAGGAGGTAGTGTAAGGAGGTGTTTGGTTTTTTTAGTCGCTCCTAAAATTTATGTCACCTCGAACGTTTAGATACTAATAAGGAGCATTAAATATAGATTAATTACAAAACCAATTACATAGATAAAGGCTAACTTGCGAGACGATTTTTTTAAGCTTAATTAATCTGTCATTAGTACATGTTTACTGTAGCACCAGGTTTTCAAATCATGGACTAATTAGGGTTAAAAGATTCGTCTCACAAATTAGTCGCAAGTTGTGCAATTAGTTTTGTAATTAGTCTATATTTAATACTCCATGCATGTGTCTAAACATTCGATGTGATAGAAATTTTAGGAGGCACTGCAGGAACCAAACAGGCCCTAATTGTACAACTTAACTAAAGAATCATACAGAGCTAACTCGGTCAGTATTACCATATATGATATTTAAAAGTAGCCTAATTTTTTGAGTCCTATGAAGCCTGGAAGTTGCTAATTTTTTTGCATCCTTGCAATTTATTATGAACTACCCACAAGGCCACAAGCTGCTTCCTTTTTCTCTATGTGCTGATTATAAGTGCTAAATACAGTATATTTGGTAAATGCATGTATGAGGAATTCAGAATAAGTTCATCTTTATTTGAAAATTACCTAGAACTTAAGCCAAATCGATAGTAGATAATTCGTGATCTATGTTGTCACTTTCCAATACAAGCACGCAGTCCTGAATTGAACCCTCTTTTTGTGAACTTAAGAAAAAGGTCCAGTTTTCACCAAGGAAGTCCAGGCTAGTTTTGTGCTAAGGTAAATGGTTCCATCAATAGGTGAACCATAATGTCAATTAGCATGAAAGCGCTTCAACAGACACCTGCCTTTGCACATTGCATACTGTAGCTGCTGCTGTGCCACTATCCTCTGCCCCTTCTTCTCCATCTCTCTTAACAATGGATAGGATAATGTGAAAACTTTTTTAGTGTTAACTTGAAATTCCAGCATCCGTTCATGTTCAGATTAGATAAACGGCATTGAAACATATTCTAAAAATACAATTACAGCTCTGGGACTTATGGAAATTGTAAAGGAAATTCTGCAAAAACAACCATTTCCCTTAGGCCTTCTCATCTTCATTTCTAATTCCCACTTTCCCAGCAATGAAAATGTTGAGTTAAATGCATCCCTTAGAACTTGTAATGGGGTGTCACTTTTGTTCATGAACTTGGAAAATACATTTTTAGATACCTAAACTTGCTAAATGATACATCGCAGGTCCATAATTGCCACGTGGATATTTTATCTGACATGGTAACGCCACGTGGCCGAAAATATGCAATGAACACCCTAAAATCTAAGGAGCTGGACGTGTATGCATGTGTTGGACGAAGCAGGGCGGCGAGGAAGCAGGGAAGCAAGCAGCGCTTCATCCCGCCTCGGCCATGGCCACACGCACGAGCTGCTGCCCGCCCTGCCTCGCCTCGTCCCAAGACCATGCGCCATCATCACCCCGGGCAAGTAGGCGCCCTCGCCGTGCCCTAGAGCCAGCCCGAGTCCCATCTGTGCCTCAGTCGAGCTTGCCATGGCCGGCTATTTAAGCAGAGCACGCACGCGCCGCGACCACCTTTGCGCCCTTTCAAAATTCGTCCACACCAGTGCCTCCCATTCCAATCCCTCGCAGCCATGAGTGCGCCCGGTTGTTAGCTAGCCCCTGGACGAGACCTCGTTGCAAACCATCTTCAATAAGTGACGAATTTTGGAATCTCGTGGAATCGGCCGCCATGGCCGCCGGAGCTGAAGCTCTGCTGTGGCGCCAATTCTTTTCCTCTCTGTTCTATCCAAGACGTGTTTTAGCATCGCCTTAACGCCCCCTACATGACCTTTGCACAGTTTGGCGGTCTCCTTGCCGTCTTGTGGTCAGTCGTCTCCAACCCAGCGACGAGATCCCCCTCATGTGACCTCGACGCCCTGCCGCGGGAGGAGCCCTCCGGCGCGTCGCTGGAGTTCCCCGTGTTCCCCACCAACGTCCTCTTCTGGGGCACCCACGACGAGGTCACCAACGCCGGCCTAGCCACGCCCGCGCCACCGTCGCCAGCACCAGCGCCGCCGCCGCGAGCTCCTCGGCCTCCGGGCGCAGGAAGGAGAATCTGGTCATCGACATCTCGATGCGTCCCGTGGCCCTGAGCACGCTGCCCATGAACTCCCTGCTGCCGGCGAGCCGGATGCCCGGGGCCATCGACGGGATGTGGTCCCCGGTCTCAGCCAGGTTGCGGTCGCTGCGCCGGCTGCTGAGCAGAGGCAAGCAGGCCGTGGTCGGCATCTCCTACAGCCATCGCCACGTTGGTGACATCGAGCAGGGGCTCGCCGGAGCTGAGTCCTCCGCCCGCCCAAGACGCCGAAGATGCCTCCGTCGGCGAACTGATCCAGATCCCCAAACATGGCTCGGCTTTGGAGGTGAAGGCGAGGTCACGGGCAATTGGCGACGTGGCCAGGGGCGAGTGCGGCATGTACAGTGCTTGGCAAGGCGCAGCAGAGGTGAGGTGGGCAGCGCGTGACGCGCTCTGCGCCATTGCGCCGAACGGTGGCGTGCGTGACCTGGCGAGGGAAGAACCTAGATGCCCTCTTTGGATATTCCATTTAGATTTCAGCGGGTTCACTGCATATTTTCCCGCCACGTGGCAATGCCACGTCAGATAAAATGCCCAGCGTGGCAAGTATGGACCTGCGGTGTATCATCTAGCAAGTTTAGATATCCAGAAATGCATTTTTCAAGTTCATGGATCTAAGTGACACCCCGTTATAAGTTCAAGAGTCTCTCATGCATTTAACTCAAAATGTTTTACGTTAGGACTGTCCCATTTGAGGCTATAATTTTCCTTCTCTTACAGAAGATTATAATTACAAAATCCTGAGCCTAATCCTCTGTTGTCTTATGGAATTCAATCATCTGGCCCTTTGCTCTTAAGATAAGATTTTTACTATTAATTTCTAGGTTAGTTTGTTCTTCTCTATGGCACATTATTGTTATATGATATTGCATTTGCATGTTCTTTACCTCTTAGTTACGGTTGCTGTACTGTGTACTGTTGCCAATCTTTCGTATTACCAGGTGTTTCCATTGGTATTTGAATTTGTTTCGCTGAAAACAGCAACCACTAATGACGGCATTTATAATATGACAACTTTCACAAGATTGAACACTGTTCTTTCAGCCGCCAGAAATTTTAAATAGTTCTTCTTAACAACTTATATTGAGTTATCCTTTGCCTTTGTGCTCCTAAAGAAATGGTGTTGCTGATTGATACCCCATATATTTCACATGAAAAAGCTCCTTCTTGTGATGCAGAAATTTTCTGAAGAAAGCTCGATTATGTGGAGGCCTGGGACTTTGGAAACCATCTGCTTGTATTCATCTTGTGTTGACAAACCTCTTGACATAATTGCTACACCATAAACCCCAGAAGCAGCCATTCTGCTGAGCTCCGGCAAGCAAGGAACCATATCTGTTCTAGGGTACTACCTCTTGGCTAGCGAATGAAATCGTCTTAAATCTCAGCAAAGTCTACATGTGCTAGCAGATTTCTCTGAACTTCCAGGGAATGTAGAAATAAATAAATAGAGGTACTAGCTTTGACTCACTGCCGCACTGGTCCAAAATGGGTTAGAACATCATTTGGCCTTCTGTTGTCCAGTAGTCCAGCTTGCTCCGTTACTTTCTCAGTTTATAGCCATGAATGAAATTCCAAGTTTTAGGGCACGTATACTGGTCTTGTATCATAGCGTTCTCATGTAATGCCATGTAATCTTGATTTAATAGACGATCCCTTCGAAACGAACTGTCATGTACCATAGGTTTGATCTTGAGACGATTTAAAGCGTAGTACTGTAATCGGATCATGTAAATGGCTACAAGCGGTTATGAAGCTAGTATTTGAAGAAAGAGAGTAGCTGAAATTTGATGTTGCTGTTGAAAAACTGAAACCCAGTAATCGGATAATGGCCTCATGGGGTGAAATCTGACGTTCTTAAAGCGTAGTACTGTAATCGGATCATGGCCTCATGGGGTGAAATCTGACGTTCTTAATTGATTCCCATCCAAAGGCGGAAGTTTCTACTAAGAATGTAGAAAAAATGTGTTGTGGAACTTTACAGGATTTTCTGAGGCCACAGTGTAATACTGGAATTCTTATATTCAAGGAGAAAATCTGCATTAAACGTGGCTTGCTTAGGTGGGCCGGCGAACTTTCAGATAACGGGCTGGATTTTAGGAGTGTTTGATACAGGCCTGTCACATCGGATGTAATTAGGAGTATTAAATATAGATTAATTACAAAACTAATTGTATAAATCATGACTAATTTGCAAGCTATTAGACCAATAACAGTGGGAGTTTCATCCGCATTTAATAAGCTGCCACGTAAGCACTTTTGATGATGTGACACCATATTTAAGAAGAGAGAGATAAAATGAGTTTTATGGGGATGAAACTCTCCTCTCACAGTTACCAACTCGCAATGAGTCATAGAATTAAATATTTATAAAACTATAGAAAGAAACCATGCATTGAGAGTGGTTGTTTAATTCAAGTTTCATTGCATTTTATATGATGTGGCATTTTTGGAAACGACGCTATGAAACTCCCCCCGAGACCGGTCTTAAGCCTAATTAGTTCATGATCAGCGAATGTGATGCTAGAGTAAACATATGCTAATCATAGATTAATTAGGTTTAATAAAATCATACCGTGAATTAGTCACGTGCTCACGGCTTTTATGCAGCTAGTTTTATAATTACCTCATATTTAGTCCTCCTAATTAATATCTAAACATTCAATGTGATAGGAAAAACTTTAGTCCTTAAATCCAAACACCCCTCCACGCATTGTCTAACCAACACCTTGTATCATCATTATACGAAAACTGATGGTTGCAGTCTACCTATAGCCCTATAAAAGGACAAAGAATTGTGGGCCTTTATGCAATTTCCTTTTAGCAAAAAATATATATTTCCCATGCAGAAAGAATCCAATTCTAGTTTCTCCTAAGTCAATACATATTAAAATTAGACTAAGTTTATTTTTATATAAAAATACTAAAATTTATAATATTAAAAATGAGTATTTATAGCATATATGTATTTTGTGTTGGTATTTTTTCAAAAAAATGATAAAACTTAAGATGATTTGAGCAATATAAAGCTAGAATAATATTGTTATCTTGTCCTTGAGTTCATAATAACCACAGGAGGAAGGCTATCGCCCGGACGTCCGAACGCATGACGTGTTTGGACGCAGCTCCCACGCGATGCCCATCCCGCCCCGCGCTCACCCGCATCGGGCGCCAGCGTCCAGAACCGCGCCCCTACGGCTGTCCCGTGTCCGCATGGGGAAAACCACGTGGGTCCTAAGTCAGCTGCCCCGCCTGTGGATGTGCACCGTGGAGGTGTCTGCCGACCTCAGGCGTCCGCACGTGGAGGTTCACGGTGGCGCCCCAGCAGCAGCATGCACCAGGAGGCTGGGCAGGCCACTGTCCGTTAGCCACCAGCGCCCATTACAACATGTGCAACACCCGATCCACTTTTGAAACATACAAATGAGACATTTGTAACATAAGCGTGAAATAGATGAAACACTTGAAACATGCGTGTATAACCATAGCAACACACGCAACATCCAGATCTACTTTTGCAACATCCATATGAAACAATTACAACATAAGTCTGAAATATCTGAAACACTTGAAACATGCGTGTATAGCCATAGCAACATATGCAACACCCAAATGAAACACTTGAAACACAGGCTTGCATCCTATGTTTATTGTCATTGCAACATATGCAACATCTCAGATATACTTTTGCAACATCTAGATAAAACACTTGAAACATAAAGTCTGAAGCGCCTGAAACATTTGACACACGGCGTCGTCGACAGCCACGGCCTAACTGGTGGACTGCGGTAGTCAGCTAGCTCGGATCAGGGGGAGGTTGCTCCACGTGCTCGTGCCCGTCGACGTCACCCGTCGCTCGTCCTGCAATTCTCCCGCGCTTGCTCGTGGACCAGTCTCGCGTCCGTCGCCGTGGCCCAGCTATTGCTACTCCAGCGTTGCTGCTCACTCGGTCATAGTCGTCCAGCACCATCCGCTCGTGGGGGATTGGACACGGCGTGGCCGGTGATGGGGGTGCGATGTGGTGGTGGGAAGGGTACGATGCGGCAGGAGACGGGCGTGCGGTAGGGGAAGGGTGCCGATAGATGAGCGGCCATGCTACGACGTGCGGATGAGCATAGTAGGGATTTTTTTGTTTTTGAGAGAGATGGGGGCGATCCTGCGCAAGTCAGGGAGCCATGTCCGGACGAAAGTCACGGAATGGACGCCCATGACGTATCATTATTGTAAGACTTAAGATGATTTGAGCAATGTAAAGCTAGAATTATATTGTTATATCTTGTCCTTGAGTTCAGAATAACCACAGGCCCGTTACGGAGCATCTCTTCGGGGGTGTTTGGATATAGGGACTAAAGTTTAAGAGATGTCACATTAGGTGTGACCTGGAGTGTCACATCGAGTATTCGGATAGTAATTGTCAGGTTCATAAACCCGGGGTCCCCAATGGGCCTGCTTCCCAGCGAAAACTCGGCCTAGCAGACTGCATAGCGACAACGCACGCCTCCCGGGCTGGCCCATATACCTAATGACAGGCTAGGAGATCGATCCGATCTCCGACCAGAAGGCCTGGCAAATGAGGGGATATCGTCTGACTCCGACCTCCTTTTTCGACCGGGAATACGCCGGACCTCCGCTCGTGATTCTTCCGCGACCGACACGGTCGAAGCCGACCAGGAACAACCGACCGGGATGCCCGCTCGGTGAGGACCCAAGTATCAGGCAGAGCAAATAAGGTAAGGCGCTCAAGTCAAACCGTAATACCGAGGACCGTACCCTGCCATACCATACCCTGTACACCTATAGGGTAGTACCACCAGGCCATGCTAGAACGGGTACTATGCAACCTTCCAGGCGTGTCAAAACCCAAACAGTGTTGTGGGCGCCGACATTTGTCTTACAGTATTGTAGGCGCCGACATTTACCATACCAGACGAAACACAGTAAAACCTGCCCAATGCGTCTAGGTATGAACAGTATTGTGGGCGCCGACAATCGTCTCGTACCCGATGGCGTGAGCAACAAGACTAGGTACCACACATACACACACTCTCTCTCTAAACTTGTAAGGCCATCCCCTTCAAGTATAAAAGGGGGTGCGCTCTCTCCCAATAGCTACGGTCATTTAGACTCTCTCTGGCTGGCCCTAGACAATCCGAGCATTCGAACAGCTCCACAACTCTAGAACTCAAAAGCTACACAGAGCATACACTCCAATACTTAGCGCACGTTAGAGTTTTCATCACTCCCGGCCCTTCGGTTAAGAGTCCAACTGGACCTGTAACACCCTCCTTATTCCCACTTGTTTGTAACATTACAGCAAACTTCGAGCACCTAGGCTCAGGAATAAAGTCACCGACCGACCGAAACTGGACGTAGGGCACATTGCCTGAACCAGTATAAATCCTATGTCATTGAGTGCTAGGCCATATCCGATCACAACGCACGGCAAAACTACAAATATTTACTTGTTGGTCACTTTTCGCACCGATAGTTGGCGCCGTCTGTGGGGAGACGCCGTGCGTTCACACTTCTGGTCATCGGTTGGCCCATCTTTCCACCATCTTCGACATGGCGGGCTCAAGCGATATGATCTACTTTGGCTCGTTGGAGTTTCCCACGCTCTCTCCTATTGGGATGTGGGTTCCTCCCATCTTCGAGCCGCTCCAAACCTTCCTCTTTGAAAGTCTGGACTTCGTTGCTGACTAGCTCGGCGTACTCTGCCTCCGCGAGGAGGCACCTGTCCCGGCGCCCACTGGAGGAGGAGCGCCCTCCACTGGCCCCGGGTCGCTCGACGACGTCAATGATGAGACACCTGCGCTTTACTTTGATCCCACACTGGGCTCAAACCCCACTATGAGTAACGTACATATTGTTCTTTACTCGCTATTTAATACCTTCTGCCAAATCTCTAGAGGGACCCCGTTGTCCCTATCGCAACCGCCATGTGACCGGTTCCCCTATGGCCTCGCATCCCCCATGGACGCATACGCGTAGGGGCTCCGAAGGATGCTGACGCCCCTCCCCCTCTCACATCTAAATTCATGGGGATGGCGGGCAACGCTCCCAC